CCGCTTGCTGTTGCTTGGGCCTCCAAACTTAGGTGCTGACCTCCAACTTCTAGCGTCGACCTCTACTTTAACTTTAACTTGCCTCGTTTCCTAAGGTTTTTTTTACTCACCTCGTTTCCTAAGGTTTTTTAAACCTAGGCCGGCGAGTGGCACCGCTATCAAGTCAGTACGCATATCCATGAGTGTGTGTGTGCACAAGCATGCAGACAGACAGAGAGTCGATTCCAACATCATAAGCCGTGTAATCCTCTGTCAGTGTCAACCTGCCAGTCCCAAAAAATGCCTCGCTCCTTCACCATCCCATCTCGCCACGCATTTCCCAATCCTCCTCACCTCATCAACCAGAGCACTCACCCACTGCACTCACCCATGAAACACGGCGCGACATCCCCCCCTCCAACGGTGCCCCAGCGTCATGAAGGAGGCCTTGTCGGGGCACTTCAGCGCCGGCGAGGCCACCGAGGCCAAGCTTGGCGCTACGCCGCCGCCCAGCACGCCGCAGGTCACCTGCGTCCGCAGCTTGGGAGCTCGGGGGGAGCTTGGCATTTGGCTGGACAAGTTCTTCTGCACCACCGCCTAGTCGCGTCCTTGCTCCTAGTAGCGATGCCCTTTGTTCCGAACGTAGCGAACATTGCTCCGTTCGTAGTAAGGCCAGGAGCCCCTAGTAGCATCCTCGACTAGCAGTGACTAACATCTTTGGACAAACCTGTTTCCAGAAAGGACTTTGGTCGCCTGGATGGGTCTACTCCGTGCCTTTCAGACTTCAAGTCCAAAACACGTGAACACCAACCACCAACACCCACAACACAAGCAGCTCAAGCAGCTCAAGCAACTCAAGCAACCTCGTAACATTCCACAAAACCAAAAAACAAACCCAAAAAACCGGTGCGCTGGTTTCTTGCCCAGTGGCCAACGACAAAGTGTTCTCATCCAAGGTCACTGGAGGCTTCTTCCCCACCCCCAAGGGCGACAATTCCACGGCGCAAAGCTCCCAGTGGCTGTCGGGTTCCTGGTGGCTCGTTGGACCGGGACCGGCTCATGGGCAACAGGCGGAAGGAATCGCCAAGCTAAGCGGAATCGTATCGGTCTGCCCCAACACGGCCGCAGCTGTGACTGCACACCAATTCGTTCCGCTTTTCCGCACCTCAAAGATCTCCAGCAAACCGTTGCCGGCAGGATGAGCGGTCAGCACCTCGGTCTGGAGCCGGTCTGGAGGCGGCCCACGGCGGCCCACTGGACACCGAGCGCACCCTGACCGCACCGAAATCATGCACTCCTGGGAAAAGGACCATGGGACCAAAAACTCTCGCTTAAAGTTTCATTTCATTCTTGTTTGTGCTACAGCCATGTCAGAACTGGCCGATTCTCTATTCACGTAGTTGTGGCGAAAGGAAGGTCAAAAGTTGCACAAAGATTGCGTCAAGTTAGGTTATTTTCCTTGCAACTCTTTAGCGACAAAAGGGTGACCCGTCACAAAAAAAAAATGGTGACATGGCGGCCTTTAAGTGCGCGCCGCCGATACGCTGATATCCGGCAACCCGATATCTGGGCATGGAGGGTATCGGTGCACCGCCGATTCGCCGGTGTCACCTTTGAGTTCACGAACACCTTTCCTTCATCACCAGAGCACCGTGGACACCCAGGAGCTGAAAGCACATCCACATTCATGAATCAGGACGACGCTGGACGCTAGTAGGAGCTCCTGGCATCGCTACTAGGAGCAAGGACGCTACTAGGGGCTCGTGGCCATACTACTAGGAGCAATGGTTGCTACTAGGAGCAAGAAGCTACTAGGAGCAAAGGGTATGAATGGTTCTGTTTGTCATATCTCCCCCATTAGAGCTTGTAATATCGGTGGGGGATATCGGTGCACCGCCGATACGCCGATATCCTCAGGCGCCGGCACAATGAAAAAAGGCACAACCTTTCCAACAATCTACTAGTCAGCTATTTGGAGAGTCCCATTGAAACAGTGAACCACAAGCCGCAGTCGTCAATCAAGTCGCTGCAAATTCACCAACCTCTTCTTTTTCCACAAAACTTCCTTCAAGTGTGAGCTATCCTGCGTCCAGGTAGTAGCGGCTAGCCCATACTGAATTGAGTAAGAGGCTAGCACAAAGCACCCTCCGAACGCCCTCCAAGGCGCCACAAAGCGCGGCACCGGCTGCGCTTCATCCAGACACACCCCGACCACTCCGGCCGTCAAGGCCCCGGTGATTCGCCCCACACAGCGGGCGAAAGCGTCCTCCAAGCCGTGCAGCCTGGCAGCTTCGAGGCCCAACTATTTGTTACTAGTGGTTTCTTGTTCCTAGTAAGGCCAGGAGCCCCTAGTAGCGTCCTTGCTCCTGGTAGTGATGCCCTTTGTTACTAGTAGCTTCTTGTTACTAGTAACGATGGCCTCCACCTAGTAGCTTCTTGTTACTAGTAGGTTCTTTTTTCCACCGGACTGGACTCGTCGAACTCGTCAAACTCGACTTCCCTTCGCCTGGAGACCAGCTGCTGCTGCTCCGACTCCGTCTGTTTGAACTTGCTCCGGGCAATCTGCGCATCCGTCAGCAGGCGTTCCCGCTGGGTGTCGCGGACACGCGCCTCTTCTTCCAGCTTGCGGACGTATTGGCTTAGCAGCTTGATCTCCTTCCCCTTCCTTGGAGAAATCACTGAACCAAAGGGTAGCTGAACAGGAATCCGTGGGCTCCTGATACTGGACTGATCATTCACCTTTAGCTAGGGAACGATTAGGGGACAGGAAAAGGTGAGGAGGAGGAGGAGGATTAGGGGTGTGTGTGTGTGTGGGTGTGCTGTCTATATTATTATGTGTATATATATATAGAGAGAGAGAGAGAGATTAGTACATACATAGTTGTTTATTTATATATCTTCCAATGACTCATCATAGCCTAAAATCCTTCTAATAGGGCCAGGAGAACAAAGAACTGTGTTATCCAAGTTATCCGTGATTTAAAATTGGCTTCCTTACTTTCTCCTTTCTTGGTTCTTGGCTTTGCATTAAAGAGTATGCCAATAAACTGTTTTTCCGATGGTTTGCTGTTTCCTGCAGATTTGAGCATTCTTCTCAAGACCACAGTCCTTGAGTTCGAGTTATGGCTCGAGGTTTTGGGAAGCTACACTGCAACAAGCCTCCCAGGCCCAGAGCCGGCATAAACCAGAATCACCGGCCAAAACCGTTCAGAAAGATCTCCAATGGGGGAGCGTGCATTAGGAGCCCAAACGGACCTCACAGATTCCTACCCAAGAAGCAAGCAAACCTCAGAGACTTGTCTGATGCAACTTCTAGGATCACCCTGTAGCGTCCATGCTGGCAATGAAAGCTGGGTTCAATATATTATATCAGCAGTGTGTGCTTCCGATGATTTCTTAAAGGATGATTTCTTAAAAATTCCCAGAGAAATACCGGTTCCTTTCTTAAATAAAAGCAGAGAAAAATATCCAACCATAAGTATCTCTGCGCGTCGTTTTCTCTTTGACGTCCGTCGTTCCTCCGGCTTCGTCACTTCGCCGCTTCGTCACTCGCTTCGTTTCGTTCCGGGCATCACATCCATCTTGAACTTCAGCTCTTTCACTTCCCTCGCACGGACCTCGTTCTCCTTCCTTGGAAAAGCCCACACGGTGACGTACCATCTTCACACCTTTATTGAGAAAGAGAAGCAGAAGAGGCTCGAGACGAGACGTCCCCATTATGCCATTTGAACAAGCAGAACAATGAGCACACGGTCAACAATAAGCACATGCGTTCTGCGGTGCTTAGGGTGAGAATCGATCTCCTGCTAAGAAGGGCATCGCTACTAGTAACAAGGGCATTGCTACTAGTAGCAAGAAGCTACTACAGTAGGAGCAAGAACGCTACGAGGGGCTCCTGGCATCGCTACTAGGAGCAAGGACGCTACTAGGGGCTCCTGGCCTTACTACTAGGAGTAAGAAGCTACTAGGGGCTCCTGGCATTTCTACTAGTAACAAGGACGCTACTAGGGGCTCCTGGCCTTACTACTAGGAGCCAGAAGCTACTAGGGGCTCCTGGCATTGCTACTCACCTGATGCCGCTCAAGTCTCTGAGCCGTCTGGTAGCGTTCCTTCCACAGCCCGCCCTCTGCTGGCGATAAGAGCGCCTTTTCCAAGGCGTCCTGTTTGTCTGCCCGCAACGAAGAAGGACCTTGAACGGTTGAACTCATCTATGCGCTTGTGGTAGTTCAAGCTTCCTCTCGGGTATATATCTCCGTTGCGAATTGAATTTTCGCAGATTTGCCCTTTGCCAGGGATGAATATATGTATGTATATGTATGTATATATATATATATATGATGTGGCTGGAAGTAACGGACTGCCTCTACCAAGGAAATACCAATAGCTGGATTCGATGCTACTCCCTTCGACTTCCCTCTCCAAATGCAGAGTCTCCCCAAACCACGTTCCACCCAGCTCGTGGGTTTCCACATGAATTCCTGCTCAAAACGAAAAGGATTTGTTGGAAACATCGCAGAGAAACAGGGATCCAGATCTCATCATCCATCACATCCTCACGAACCTCAAATTTGGGGCTTCCCAAACCATCACGGACTCTGCGACTCTCCTCGGTCGTCTTCAGCTTGCTCTGCAACTCCTCAATGACGATCTCCCGCTGGACGATCTCGTGGTCCAGCTCAGCTACGTGCGCACGCAGCGCCGAAAGCTCCTCCGGCGCGGCTGGTGCGCCTGGCACGCAGAGGGGTGACAAGGGTTGAGGACGGACAAAGCGGATATGAAACTTTGAAGGCGCCTCATTTGGTTGAACTGCCAAGTATTGTGAGAGGTTTGCATCAATGAGATTGACAGAATGACCACCACAATTCAGGAATATCAGCCGGTTCATATTGCATCGAAAACCGGAAATCTTGTGTGGAGAAATTGCTATGCTTGAGACCTATATGTACCAAACTTGATTGTCCATTGTCAACAAAGAGTGAACACAAAACATGTTTGCACTCTCTCTCGCACCCAGAACCAACATCCTTCAACAACAAACCAACCAACTCATCCCACTTGGCGACCTCACCTGTGTTCGCCTTGGGCGAGCCCAGGCCAACGGCCGCGTCCGGAAGCTCCGCCTCCGTCCAGCCCCGTTTGGTCGCGACTGGCGAGGCGCCCGCAACGCCCACCGCATGTCGGGGAGAGAAGGCGTCACCTGGAGGACATCGCGAGCATTGCGCGCTTTGAACGGTGGGCACCGTGTCAGGCAGCGCGGCTTGTTGGAACATGTTGGAACCTGGAGTTTCTCTGGTGTCCTCTCTGGCGAAAGGCTGAAATATGGAGAACATATAATGTACTTTAATTACCGTACAAAACATGGTACAGTGATGAGATCCAGTGCCTCCGCCACCACCACCTTCTTGACCACCCTTGCGGGAGTTGGTTCATGTGGGGAATGCGTCCCAATTGCCCTGGTGGCGAAATCTTTGTTGCAACCACCGTGCTTTACTACCATTTCCTCAGAATGGAAGTGGAAGTTGGAAAAATATCATCCGCCAACTTCTGACCCTCCAAACTCTCTCTCTCTCTCTCTCTCCCTCTCTCTCTACTATATCCTGTCATGTGCACGCAAAAGACTGCCCACTAGCGCCTTCGGCGGCCTCTCCCTTCAAGGCTCTCAGCTGCGCCGTGATCAGCGCCTGTTCCGCCCGCGCCTCCGCCATCAAGTCCGGCACAGATGCCATGGCTCGTGTCGTAGCGCTCACGCGCGGCGGAGTCGCGCGGCGGAGTCTTCGTAGTGAAGAGATGGATGTAGGGTTCTGAGAGGTGTTGTTTCTTCAGAGGGGCACACTCTTGATGAACCAAAGCAGACTTGCACCTTGTCAAATGACAAAGATACCAATCCGCCATTTCCAGACCTGGACATTTTGTTTGGTGTGGTGTGTTTGATAAGTTGAACGGGTTGGCGACACCCGAAGCTCGATGACGCGCTGCTTCTTGTTTTTGGGGTGTGCCAAATGGATGTTCGAAGGCCATGCCAAGTGGATGGTTTAGTGTCTAGGCGCCAAACTTCAGTGCTTTGGGCTTTTGACTTCTGGTCGGTGCTTCATTCATAGGTGGGGTTCAACCCAGCTCATCCTCTCATGTCCTGAAGCACTAGGGTCGGAGTTGCGCTGCTCTCAAAAATTATTGAAGCTCCCTCCAATCAGCAACTCTTAGACTCCCTACAGTTACACCTCGGTGCAGCCAAAACAGTCTGACCCCTGAGCTTTCTGAAGCTGCCTGCAAAATGATTGTGTTGTTTGTGCTTGGTGTTGTCCAAGCAAACCCGCTGAGGTTCTACTCTACATACTGTACACTGTAGACGACATCAAGACCTTGTTCCAGCCAGGAAGAGACAATGTCCATGTCTGATAAACAAAACAATCAGAGTATTCGCATCATCCGAACGCCTTAAGAATCGTTGAAGCAAATCAAGGTGTCTCTGTAGAGTCTCACAGGCGATGCGAGCTTTTTCTCACTCCTCACATCTCCTGAATGGGTTGGAGGCCATCGCTGTTAGGTTGGAGGCCATCGCTATTAGGTCGGGGGCCATCGCTAGTAGGTTGGAGGCCATTGCTTCTAGGTTGGAGGCCATCGCTATTAGGTTGGAGGCCATCGCTATGAGGTTCGAGGCCATTGCTATTAGGTTGGAGGCTCGCTATTAAGTAAGGAAAAAGAAAAAGATGAAAGGTCTGGCAAGACTTGCCCACACGCCTTGATCTTGGGGTCAGGAGTCTTCATGCCAAAGCGTCCCTGCTCGCAGAGCCAGTCGGTGAGCTCATAGGGGCCTCGTGTCAAACAGCAGCCGTCGAGCCGAACAGCTTGTCAAACATCCGTTTGTCTCTTAGGATGACCACCTCTAGTAGCGTCCTTGCTCCTAGTAGCGATGCCCTTTGTTACTAGTAGCTTCTAGCTACTAGAAGTACGGCCAGGAGCCCCTAGTAGCGTCTTTGCTCCTAATAGCGATGCCCTTGTTACTAGTAGCGTCCTTGCTCCATTGGTTCTGAAGAATTCCCAATGTCTTGGAGCCATATCAAGCAACCGAACATCATTCCGAGGCCAGGACCGTAGTAGGTCTTGGTCTGCTTGTTCATGTCGCCCGCTGCCTGCCCCGTGTTCGTGCCCGGTAAAATTCCACAGAAGCCCATATTGAGATACAGCAGTCAAGATCGACAGTTCCTCGATGCCTTTTTGGCGAGCTCCCCTGTAAATCTATGGTTTGTTCTCCCATGTCCATCGGCGATCGATCGTACACCACGGCCATTAGACAGAAGTTCTTTCACGTAGAGATGATGGGTCGGAACCTGTTGAGCACTGTTCCAGGGGCACGAACATCCTTTTGCAAAGCTACACCAGGTCTTGATGCCGGGTAAGATCTTAAATGTTTTGCCCAGCCATTTTTTCCCAGCCATTCGAACAAGTCGCTCAAACCGACCCCTCTTCCAAACATCCTGCACCTGAGACAAGGAAGCCCCAGTGTCTTTTGAAGTGGAAAATCTTCTCCTTCTTTCAAAGTCCGACGTGCCATGCCCTTCTTTGAGCCCATTGAGCTCGACATCCAGTGCCTTGCGCTGCTTCCAGAAGAGCTCCTGGCCCACCAGGTCGCCCAGCGCCATGGGGCCCATGGCCATACCTGTGAAAACCAGGAAGCACTCCGACTCCTTTGAACGCCTTCTATTTTGGTCGGAAACAGGTCGTTTTCCACTCGCCATCATATCGTTCGTCCATTTACATGTGAACTTGAGTCGGCATGTTTGAGATAGGTGGTCCACCAAAATCGGGGTGCTAGAAACGCATTGTTTCACACCTCTAAGAGCCCCAGCCATCCGGAGAACTCCACCCACTTCCACTCCGCTCCAAACAGCTCTTAGGATGGAGGCCATCGCCAGTAGGTTGGAGGCCATTACTAGTAGCAAGAAGCTACTAGTAACAAAGGGCATCGCTACTAGGAGCAACTAGTGGCTCCTGTACTAGTAGCAAGAAGCTACTAGTAACAAAGGCTTCTAGGTTGGAGGTCATTGCTACTAGGCTTTTGCCTCCAAAACCCGCTCCGAGTGTTCACCCGCTTTCGCTCGGGCACCGAATGCGACGGCAGCTTTGTCGATCTGCTCGATGGTGGCTCCCTCCTCCAAGACCATCTTCGCTTCCCCCGCGTAGGGTGCGATCTCGGCCCAACCGGGACGGACCACAGATGCCACAGCTGTGAAGTCTTTGATTAGCCCTTTGCTGCTCGTTTCAGATCGACCACAACGTATTCGCACATTTGCAAACAGGCTAAATGAGTCGACTTGAGACACTTTTCTGGGGTGCGCGCCATGCGGTTGCCCACGAAGCCATCGCAGTTACCCACCTCGGTGCAGGCTGGCGACGAGGTGAATCGAATGCCTCTTGTGCTGTTGCTTGACAGGATCTTGTCTCGACACCTAGAACTCCCCACGACTCGAAGGAGTGGCAGGTGCGTTTCGATGGGAACATCGTCTGGTCGCCCTTGGGCCACGCACCATGACACACTTCTTGTTGATGAGCTTTCCCATGGCCATTCCTGGCGGACTGAGCGACGGACAGGAGGAATCTATATAATGCGGGTGAAAACTGCACAAAGAACACTCCATCTCCGTGACCTTTAAGTCATGCTGCATCAGTCTAATTCACTGTCCCCCCACTGAAGCCCCACTCTTCTCACATCCATGTCCCACACGGCTGACCGCAAAAGCCGCCCAGAGCAACGCTCTGCGGGTGGGACACGTGCCGTCGGCACCTGTGGCCAAAGTGCGGACAGAGGACTTGCTGGTCCTCACGTTCTCCAGAAGCTGCATGACCTCGGACGTTCTGCGAGAGTCAGTCTTCGGTGTCTCTGTCTGAAGGTCCAAAAATGCTTCCACGAAGCTGCAAAAAACTTCTTTGGTTTCCCTGCTCGGTAGTTTGGGATGTACCCTAAAGGGTCCCCAGGTCCTCGTCCTCAAGCATTTCAAAGCACTTCCAGTAAGATTACCACATATTGTTTTAGAAGGTGCCCGAAGGAGGTCAGGACAAGATCCTCCACAATTCCTATAGTCTCCAGGTAAAGCAGATTCAGAGAGCTCGGCCATCAAAGGTATCTCAGCTGGTGGTTCTCTTGAGAACTTGACCCGAACTTTTCAAGTGGGACTCTGAGTGCTTCACATTGGCAGGGGAGAAGAAGTGGCAGCCCATCACACGCGAGGGATCCTCAAACGCACGAACGTCGCTTTTAGACTTGACCCGGACCACTCGGACCGGACTCTGACTCATGGTGCAGGGAGCTTCCGAAAAGATCGTGCCGGATGAGCCGCCGTCTTTCCCGTGGCCACTCAACCGGGTCTCTCCAATCAAATGGCGATGGCCTCCAACCTAGAAGGCTTCGGTTTCTAAGTCTGGCAGTAAGTCTTCGTCCGGCGATTCACCTGCCCAATGCGCTTAACCCGGTCCTTCAGCACTGTGGCGATATCATCCTCAGCCAACAGCAGTTTCCCAACAGCGATACGCTTTGACAGAGAAAATGAGGCAAATACAACACCATAGTAAATGTGTGACGTTTGCTGAACGTGTACTGTGATGTGTGTTCAACTGGGGAAAGGGTGCTCGTTGAACCAAGGTAATTTCTTCTCATGTTTGCTTTAAGGAGTTGTTACCTTAGGTCCTTTCGAGGACCAGAGAAACGTATCTCCAGATAGAAACTCCCCAAACATTACTATTGGGTGTCGTTCAAGCTACTTGACTCTTGAGCAAATGTTCCTTACCACTTGCTCCTTTCCACCTCCAGTCCGATAAGCACTGACTTAGTGCAGGAAAGCTTCGATGTTGAGACCGCTGGTGTTCGTGCAAATGAGCGCATCCGGCTTGGTGTTCTTCTCGATGTCGAGGAAGACCTGAGGTACCCACGCACTCTGACCTGTGCCCTCCTCTCCACTGTTGAAGCAAAACGCAACAATAAATATAATACAAATCATATCAAATCATCGCCAAACAGGCCCTTTGTACCATCTACTGTAAAGCCAATGGAAACACTCCGCATCTCGACCATACGCTTTCACCACCGGCTTGGCCTCCTTCTTCAGCTCCATAATCTCCGGCACGGCCTAGCACCGGTGTTTGCAAGACCCGGGTTGCAACACCGAGAGGTCGATTCCCCTGGTGGTCCAGGAAGAGGTGCACTACCTAGCCACCCAGAGACCCGTCTCCTGATCTTGAGCACCTCAAGGGCTTAAACTATTTCTTTAAACGCATGTTGATGGACACCAGTCAATCACCAACATGGACCTTGATAGTATCCCTTTTCCCAATCCCTTTGAGCGCACAATAGGATGTGCTGAAGTATTCTAACAGCTTACACAGTCAATCCAATGTGCAAGAGAAATGGAGCAAATAACATATTTCAACCTTGGATCTCTCACACCCGTTTTTCCTGCGAGGTAACACTGCTTCCTTGGTGTCTTGACATCTATAATCTATCGGAAACAGTCCATGGCCATGGCCTCGATCACCATATCCACATCCTTGAAGTCGGCATAGTCCCTCAGAATCGCCGCCGTGCAACGCGGTCCACCGCGGTCCGTTTGGGTCGAACGGGTCGACCGAGTCGGAAAGCGCACGCAGTGCGTACGCAGAAGTGGAGTCGAAGCAGGCCCCACTCACGTCAAGCTAACCAGAACTTACCACTTTTGCAACAAAAACGATTCCTTTTCAGAAAAATCCTTTAGAAAAGGCTGTTCTGTCTGACCATGATTGTAAAACACTGGTGCTGCCGGTGTCGTGATTAAGACAACTCTTCCTGGAACAAAAACATGAGTATTGCACATCATCACAGCTTACATCCGCACATAGTATCCAGATATGAACAATTTCACATATGCACATCTTCAAATGCACATTGTGATTTTGGCACTTGAAGCAACGTTTGAAGCTTTTCTCTCTTACTTTGTCTTTTCAGGACTGGTAGATGGGCATTTTGGCTGGAGAAAGGGTTCTATTTGTAAGCTGAAAGCAATTCTACAAACTCTGAAGAACTCATACGGGTGCAAATCCACTTGAATCCGAAAAAGAGCCCCTGATCACCCAGAACCCCATATACCAAATACAACTTGAGACTCCAAGGATCCCGGTCTATTCCTTAAAAAAAGGCACGAATCCAAATCAAACCGCAAAAGAAAGACCTGCCGGAGCTTCTCGGGCACCTGGGCATCCCGACAGGGTGGGCTTCAGCAGGCCTCGGGGGCATCGAGCCGAGGTCGTTCCGTCGTTCCGTCGGCTCAGAACTGGATCCGTTCTGCCCCCAGACTCGGTGCGGCTTCGCAAAGGAAAACGGTGCGGCTCTCGACCACAGAGGGGAGAGAAACCTGCTCCAAAGCGTGGTAGCTTGACCTCCCTTGGTACTCTAACCAGGGTGCCCCTGTTTTGGCCCACTGCCGCATTTTGACCCACAAGGACACAAACGAACATTCTTCCGATTCACCATTCACCGTCCACCGGCTCTTGTCTCCCAAGGGCTCTTGTTTCAGGTACTAAGAAATTATATAACAGAAAGTAGACCCTCTTGAACTAAATCAACAAATCCAAAAAGGAGACCATCGCTAGTAGGTTGGAGGCCATCGCCAGTATGAATCAACGAATCCCTTTAACCGAGGCTTCGTCTGACCTGTCTTTGGATCTAACCTCCATCGCCTGTCTTTGTACAAAAACACCAAAACCTGAAACACATGGCTTCGTTTCATTTCATGGCTTCTTCGTTTGGTGTTGTCAACCTCTGCAGTGTGGTTTGGGATCCATTTCCATCCCTGGTATCCCGAGTTCGGAATGCGCTCGTGAAGAAATGGGCTTTTGGATGTGACTTCTCCATATCGACCAGCAAACAGCCATCTTCTCCATCAAGCCCAGCGGCTCATGTACTCCTTGAACTTGTCCTTGCTCAAGCGACCCCTCTTGGCCTGGCAGGTGGGGCTCTGGTGTTCCGAAATCCAACTCGTGCAATGCCGGATTGGTTCAAAGCTCCAGAAATTTAGGCAACAAATCGCACAAATGGCTTACATATGCTTATATATAGCTTATGGTTGCAATGAGTGTCTCAAAACTCGTTTGGGCTCCATCCTTGACCACAACCCGCCTGTCCGCCCCAAAGGGATTCGATCTTCTTCATGCCAGAATCGAGCCATTCCTGCTTGGCATCCTCGCGGTCACGGCGTGCGGCGTCCGGCCGTGCGGCTTTTGAGAGTTTTGTTCTTTGGAAACCATGTTCAAGGACCCTCACGTCACGAAAACTACCATTACCATGAAAAAGGTCTTTGGACCCTTCATGCTCTCTAACTTGATGGATCACCACGGATGTGAATCCCTCTGGTTGGAGCAGCTGAAAGCCAACTCCATCTCAAGCCAGTGTCCTTAAGCACCACGGGGACGCCCTTCTGCACGAAGCACATGGCCTTGTAGCCAACGCCATATTAGCCGTAAGGCTCGGTGGCTCCATTCGTTCAGACGAGCGTGATACAGACTGGTTGGGTCTTAAGTGGAAGAAACTAGATTTCGGCGGGACAACAGAAGCCTCAGCCCAGCTCCACTTGTCGGATCTAGGTGTCCAAAAACCTCCGAGTTCATGCCTACTTTCCGTGTACTTTCGAAATGCCCGGGTCAATCTCGAGTTCAAGTCGAGTTTACTCTGCAAGAAAGCGAAGAAAGGCGACCGACCTTTGCAGATTTGGGTTTACCGAACCACGAGGAGGAACGTTGTCCATCACGGTGCCGACCAAACCCGGTCACCGCGGGGAAGTCGCCCGTGGTCCACCGGCGTGCAACGAATCGGCACTTGGGTGCTAGCAGTGCTACCCCGTCTTCTAGTTCCCCCTCCCGGAAGACCATGAGCCTGACCAGATCTGGCGGTGGTTGAGGCAGCTCCCACCACACTTTTACCAACACTTCAAGGTGATTTCAAGCACACAAATTGCCTCTGAGTGCCTTAGAAAGCATTACCAAGTGCCTCCGAATGCCTTGTGAAACTCGGTCCAAGGGATGGACGAACCTGCCATCTGCCATACGCTACGTGGAGCACACCTTCCATCGTTTCCCGCGCACCGCGGGCGGCGCGAGTCGTGCATTCTGCGCCCCTTGGGTCGCGACGATGCCGCCACCTTGGGTCGTCGAGTCGAACAACCAGAACATGACGAACGGAAGTCGAGTCGACTGCGTTGCACTTACTTTTCTTGAAGTGCCTACAGTAGGAGTGTGTCAGACATCAGTCATTGTACGGTAGCCATTTTGGCCCAAGACTGTGGTTCGAGCAGCCAAGAGGAGCTGCAGGTTAGTTAGGAGATGGGTACTTTTTGCTTTGAGCCATGTGTCCACAAAGCGGTTCGGCTGCTGGGGCCATCCAACTTGTTTTTGGTGAAGAGGTTGATTCGTTCATGCGGCGCTGAATCTTCAAAGCACTTTTGCCCTCAGCGGATTGCTCGGAAGTCCATCAGAGCTTTGGGGTAAAAGAGAAGGCCATGGCACGCTTGTTTCCGCTCATTCTTTTCATAATCTTTGCATTACCTGTGCTACAAAGCGGTTTGGCTGCTTGGCCTGTCTCGTCAACGAGTTTTGTGAAGTTGCCAAATCTTGCCCATGCCCGGGGCGCAAACTTGGTAGTTTGCTCGGAAGTCCGTTCAGGGCTTTGGAAGGGTTGGCGACGGCATTCTGCGCATGATGTCCTCCTCTTCTTCGTCTTGTCGGGTGCCAATGGCCTTCGGCCACCAGTCGACTTGTTTTGCGGCGCCCTGATGGTGCCTATTCGTAATGCCAGATTTGTCCTCGGGTGCGTCCAACCGCCTACGAGCATAAGTTGGCGCGCGCATGATACATGATTTCAGGCAATTGCTTCTCCCAGTGATTTGGCGCTTACAGACTACGGCGGTACGCATTGCGTCTCCACATGGCACTCTGCACATCCACGAGTCTGAAAAGTCACCATATTTCACCACCCAATCGGAGCATCCACCCTCCCTGTGTTTCAACCATTGTTTTCCACATTTGCCCCCCTTCACACGCATCAAACAGGAAACCCTACTATTATGATGTGCCTGACAGCCTAACTCTGAAATCTCAAGGATGCATAAAAAAGCAAGAAAAAGCAAAACCACACTCACAAATGATGACCAGGAATGCAAAAACACAACATACAGCAAGGCTTCAGTGATCATGTCCGCAGGTCAGCCAATATTGATATCTTGCTTGCAATTCACTACTTTCTACTACTACCACCATAGGTTTGATTGTTTTTCTGCTGGTTCTTGCTAGTTTGCTCTGCAAGGAAGTGCGCCCCCTTCATACCTTCGCCAAGTGTATTAGCGGCTGTTTTTGCTTGCAATAATTTGTTTGGACGGTTTCTTTTCCTGCTGTATCCCGACGTATTGATGCATATGTTTTGTTATGTTAATAGGTTTGTAGTTGCATGTGCTTTGCTTTTGCCTGCGTTTGTTGTTGTGCTTTTGTTGTTTCTTGTTGTGCTGTGCCTTGTTTTGGCATTTGTTGGCATTGTGTTTTGCTTTTTTGTGCAGTTTTTGTGCGTTATGTGTTGCATGTGTTTGCATTTTTTGAGTGGTCAATTTAGCTGTTTGCGTGTTGTTTGCATTTTTTTTGTTTTTTTTGCATTCCAAGGCCTCCTTTGGTGACTTGTTTCTGCGTTTTCTGTGCATTTTTTGCGGCATTGCTTTTGCATGTGGTTGCCTTGTTTATGCATTTTGTTTGTGTTTTGCTGTGTCTTCAGAACTAGCTCTAGCGTACATCATAACCCCCTAATGAATTCCCCATCCCGAGCTAGATGCACCAAACATGTTACACACAGGCTAAACGCAGCAAACATATACCACACAAACAATGGAGAATACTCATACAAGAATCAGGAAACACACTGGCAGGGCATGATGTATATTAGATGTCGCGCACAAAGATCAAACAAACTGCTGTTCTCTTCAGCTAAACGCATGTGCCTGTTACTTTCCCCTAAGCTCCCCCCAAGCTCTTTTCAACACTCACCACTTGTGGATGATACGTCCTCCACTGCAAGTAGTCCTTATGACTTTTTCAATCTTCAGGAAGACTGCTTTGTTTGGGTATCCCGCATATCAGAGAAACATCCGATCCCAACATCCCGACACCAGTGCGGGACTGGGACTGCTCCTCCCATGTCCAAGGGTGTCTGTGCTATAATCACAAACAAATGTGCTGCCTAGAATAGAACTTTGCTTGCCTAGCAGTAGCACGTGAATGATTGATCGAAGGGCACTTGTCTCATGTCTGAAGAGAAGGGTGTTCATTCGGAATCAGCCGAGGCGCCCATGAGGCCGGCCCCAAGGATTCCGATCTTCTTCAGGGGCGCAGGCTTCTCATCGATGCCTGGCACCTGACGTGCGGTCGGAGGTCGACTTAAGAGGTGGGAGTTTGGGCACCAGAGTTGGGGGCCAAGACCCCAGCAGCCGAGGGTGACGAAGGTGATTGACTGAAACCACCTGGTCCATGCCGCCCGCACCTTGGTCGTTCCTTCTGACAGGCAAGCAGCGGTCGGAGCTGCAAGCGGAAAGGAAAATCGTCGACTCTTCAGACCACATAGAAATCGAAGTCGAAAAGTCTTCGGCTTGGAGGCCATTGCTATCAAGTTCCTTTTGCTACAAGGAGAAAAGGGCATCGCTACTAGGAGCAAGGACGCTACTAGTAGCTCCTGGCCTTAATTACTACTAGGACATAGGTTGACTGGAATTCCTAGGTCCGTTGGCCACCAAACTCGTCGAATCCGCCTTACGGGCCAGGCCCTCAGAGAGGAAGAGGTGGCGCAGCGCCTCAAGGACCGTGGCAACCAATTTTCATGCGGCTCTTCGTCAAGAAACACTACAACTACACCATGAAATCGTCGAACACTAGCACCGCTAGGGTCATTGGGTACCTTCAAGCTTTGAAGGCCTCCCTGGACAAGGTGTCTCCTGCTTCTGTTTGAGGTGACTAAACTCTCTGATGGCTTTGGATTTGGATTGGATTTGAAGCAATTGGAGCTGTTTGCTGCCAAAACTTTCGGGTGTCTTCTCGTGATCCAGGCATCCCTGCAGCAGACTCCACAGAGAAAACCAGCTTGGTGAACTCCTCCATCTCCACCGCCAGGCCCTGTCAAATATCTAGTCTCGATGAGCTTTTTGGGCCGCGGCCGGCCGCAGGTAGAAACCAGAGTGCACACCAGGATGTGCAAAAGTTCATGGGGGGACTCCAGGGTACTAAGACGTGGGAGTTTCACCATTAATTTGCACAAAGTGCGGTGGTTGGTGCAAAATCTGAAAAATGAGGATGGAAAAAGTTCGGGACTCTCCGAACAGCTCACCTTGAAAATTCGTTCCCCTGCGGCCGAAACCAAACACCTCTGCTTCCCCGCCGAATTTTCGGAGAACCATCAGGGCCAAATAGTGGCAGCGAACAGAATGAGGGTTTGGCTGTGGAAAGGATAGAGCACCCCCTACCAATGCTGGAAAACAAAGAAAGAAAGCCAATGTCGATCAGCTCAGCATTCCCAGCCATGCGCTGAATCATTGAAACCACAAGCACCAGACTGTGCATGGTCCCCGAGTTTGGTGCCGGTCCCCAAGACACTAGGACCTAAAGAAAAGATAAGAAAAGAACTAATATACCTCCCAGCTCTTTCCCAACAGCAGGCCACTAAAAGCTCTATCAACTGGCGCTTGCCCGGCATTGGGCCTCTCGGAAGCTCTTGTTGGAGCAGGCCGCATCGAAGCACTTGATGATGGACTCAGCACAACCACAGAGGCGTCAACCAATGAGTGCAAACCCCAAACACCTGGTCTCCAAAGCAAATGGTGTGCCGGAAAACAAACACAGGGAAATGACCGACATGCAGGCAGGGTCACAGTGCAACTGCCGCGTGTCCTCGCCAAACCCCTCAACCTGACAACTCCGCTACCGAGCTCCCGAACCCTGGGCGCAATCATGAGAGGGGCCTTCAACGACGGGCTACGCAACGGACGCCACCACGGCACGCCACGGACGCCACGGGACGCCACGGGACGCCACGGACGCCAGGCGGCAGATGCAAAAAGGCAGGTGCAGGCTCTCTACTGGGTTCTACGGCTGATGAATTTCTGCAGCAAAGTCGTATAGGCTATGGTATTCGTCGATGTCTATCCTGTCCACTACTGCAGGATTTCTTCTGTTGACAATAAAAAGATTGAATGTTCATCAAACGGCACAGCAAAATGGCCCAAACACCCAGCTCAGCCACGAAGTTACCACTTCGATCCTAAGCATTCAGATCCTGTAAACTGATTTTCCTGCATCTTACACGAAAAAAATCGAAAAAGCAACAAAGTCTCGTCGACAAAAAGCCTGAACACATCCAAACTACGGAAGACTGAAAGCCAACACATCAATTGACTCAAGAGAACCTCCACTTGTGAAACATTCCTCCACATTAGGAAAGTGGACATCAATCAATTCGGGACATGTCGGACATGACATGATTGAGCTCCAATCCGGTCCACTTCGCTCCACCCATTCGAACCCGGGGCTTCCCGGCCGCATTCACCGCGGTGTTCAGGCCCTGCTCCAAACCACCGGCGGCCACCATGAACCTCGCACGATGTCACAATGAACATATGATGTCTTTCAAGTTTCAGGTTGTTTTTATTGCGTCCGAGTCTGAATAGATTGTCTGCGCAAGTCTGTCTGCGCATTTATAAATGTGTTGAGTTGAGAGTGGATGGCACGAAGCCTATATAATCTATCCCATGAACAAAAGACCTTCAACCTCGGCTAATGTCGCGTTCGTAAGCAAATGTTCACAGATACCGGCTACTCAATTCCAGGGCCCCAACCAATCGGGCCGTTTGAAGTTCAAGACTTCTCCAATGGATCGTCACATAAAAGGGGAAGCAACATCCAAATGGCCCGAAATTCACTCCCATCAGACCTGTCACTCCAAATAACATGCGGCTCCAACTGCTACGTAAAGATCGCAAAGGAGCTTTGAGCTCTTCCGCCCCGGCGGGGCTTTGGGCACGTGGCACATGCCCTGCGGTCCCGAACTGTCCCTGTTGGCGCCTGTTGGTCTTGGGCACTTCGCGCTTGGAGATGGGGTTGGGCGGATGGGAGAGCGCAAAGTCGGCGGCCTCCTCGATGACATCCTACACATGGAGACGCACACGTGCTCCACGCGTGGAGACGTGGAGTCTTGTTGACCAAAACCTCGGTCAGTGATACACCAATTGGTCCAATGACCCTGAGAAGGGGGATCTTTGTCTTGCTGTGTCAGGCAGTTTCTCACCATCGTTGCTGATTGGAGCCCTCAAATGAATGGAACGGTGCTTGGAAAGATGAGAGGGATTGATGGCTTTCTTCACACGGTTTTCCACTGGACCTTCAAACATGGTGACGAACATCGCCCATTTCGTTTCAGCTGGGTCCATTTCATTGGTCACCTCCTCTGGTTCCCAAAGCTCTGATTCTGGTCTTTTGGAGTCGAAAGTATGAGAACTTGGAGCAGCTACATGGCTGCAGGTGAGCATTGTAGATGAATGTCCCAGTATAGAGCTAGACCATCCAGTGCATGTCATTCATTTCATATGGGGTACAGAATTTCGACCGAACTGCACTCCAGTGACTCCACCCTCGACCTGCCCACTCCCACTCCGGGCCCGTGGGCCCGCTCCGAAGGACGGCTTTGGGACCGATAGTCCTTCCTAGTAGCGTCCGCTCGCTCCTAGTAGTAAGGCCAGGAGCCCCTAGTAGCTTCTTGTGTCCCGCCTTGGTGGCCACAGCATCCACAATGCCGTTCCTGGGCGCCAGCGTTAGAGCATCGCACACGCGATACTGCGGTGAAACGAAAGTGAAACGAACGCTCCGGGGGTTCATCGGTCGTCGTTCTGTCTATCTGTTCTACCAACACTTCTGCTCTTTGCAGGACTCTCCGGCATCCCGCACGATTGGATTCTTGGACTTAACTCCTATTCCTCTTGCAAAGCCCGTTCCGAAACGAAGCACGCGCGTGCTTCCTTTTACAGGTTCGCAAATGAATGAAAGCTACTTCCACTTCTCAAGTATCGTTTCGTCCTTCCAAGAAAAGCCTCAAGTATAAAGCCTTGTGGTTTTTCGCCACTGTCGCATGCCCTGCTCCCTGACCGCCCCCCAGGCCCGGGGAAGGCTGGACAAGCATCTTGCGGGCAGCGTCCGGCTTGAGCCTCGAGGTGATGTGCACAAAGGGCCCAGGGACACAAAGGGTGGTGAAGTGCCTTTTCGACAAACAGGTCGGGTCGCACTGGGTGTCTCTGAGACACTGCGTGATGTCTATGGGTTCCAAAAAGGACACATCGAGTGAGTCTCAAATCCTGCGGTTTGTTCCTGAGATGTCTGACACGTCCTTTGTTAAGGGCGAACATCTTGACCAGCAACAGTTACCAGCAAGAAGCACCAAGTTGTCTAGAGCTCCAAAAGGTCTAGGCCTAGGCCATATCAAAGCTAACAAATACTCTTTCTATTCAAGACCATCGCTAGTAGGTTGGGTTGGAGGGTTGGAGGCCATCGCTCTTAGGTTGGAGGCCATTCCTATTAGGTTGGAGGCCATCGCTAGTAGTTTGGAGGCCATCGCTCTTAGGTTGGAGGCCATCGCCATTAGGGTGGAGGCCATTAGGTTGCATATGGTTGTATCACACATCAGAAAATATCAAAACAATAAACCCAGATCTCGGACCTCCATCGTCCTGACCCCACATGAAAACACGCCAAGGCACGGCTTGCCCTGCAGGATCCTCAGCACAAGACCCTTGTTAAAGGTTCTGCAATTTCGTGTCGCTCGCATCCGGTTTTTGAGCGGCTTCCATGTTTATGAGCTGTAACGCGGAAGAAAAAGAAACACTTGAGCCCCGTTCCTGTTTTTTCTGGCTGAGGGTGGTTAGGTGCCAGTCATCACCCATTGCCTGTTTTCGTGAATCTCGGTTCTAAGCCATGTCCCAAACAAAACACCCCAGCTTGGAGGAAAACTCATGTTTTTTCGCCATCTCTCAATGCGGCATCAAGACCGTTTTTCCAATGAAGACTCGCTGCTTCTTTCATGAACTTGCTGAGCTTACAGACCGTGGTCAGTGGTAAATCGCAAAAGATATGCAAAGTACAGTAAGAAGATTGAACCCAACCACAGGATATTCCCTCGAATTGCATGTATTGCCTGTATCTCAGGTCTCAGGCGTTGTAGGATCGTTTCATTCTTTAGACACTACGTCACTATCTACCATCTATAGGCATCTGGATTCGATCGACAAATCCATCGTCCAAGGTAGCATCTGCCCGGCCATTGACCAGTAGACTTCCCTCCCCCAATTGGCGATTCACGAGCAACACCAACGACACAAGGAAGCAAACAAACCAAACAAACCAAGGACCAATGGAGGAACGAACCAAACCCTTTCCTTCTCCAAGTGTCATCTGCATCGCCGTGGGCAAAGGTGCCACGCGCGGCAGGCGCTGGGTGCCCTGAGAAAGCATCGTTCGCCGTGTCCCCGCAATGCGTATGGATCGAAAGGGGGGAGGGCTTGGCAACGCACCAGGTGGGGTGCGTTTGACCATCAACTCAACCCTCGCATGGGAAGAATGAACATGAGACGTTTGGGTTGCACTTCGGTGTCTTGGGAGCTTTCATTGAAAATGCTTTCACAAAGGCTGGATGGATGCTCAAGGTGCCTACTTGCCTTTGCTTTCGACCACTGAAAATCCCTACAGCATCTGGCCTATTGATGAAGCTCTCATTCGTAAGCCTCATTGAATCACCAACCTACAAAGAGTAGAGGATTGGGGTTCCACCAACCTTCGCACCAACCAATGCAAATATCTATAATATATATATATATATCAAACATGTCTATCCAAACATCTATGTCTATAATATAAATATATATATATATACCTGTTTGTATGTTTGGTATCTATGTCTGGTAAGCTATGCATCACCTGTTCACCATGATAGCTTACGAGACTGAACTTTAAGACTCCAACTTTGAGGATTCCTCACCGAGTGGTGTAGGGTGCTAGCATACCTTTCGGTGTGAGGCACAAAAGTTGTGGCTTTCACAGTTATATATAATGTAAAGGTGACATACTACAAGACCACTGGACAGAATAATGTGTCAAGTTTCAACAGAAGGAGCCTATTCTTCTGTTGGTGATTTACATCGACTGTTTGCTAGCCATCCCCGTGACGGCCATGCCTGGGCACCAGGGAGAAGTCCCAAATTCACCTGGCACTGCAGACTTCGACTCTAATGCCGTCGACTGAGCAAGCAAACTTCTCCAAAAATGTAAAAGCTTATGTATCATCAGCTTCACTGCCAGAACCCTTGCGGCTGCTATGGATTCACTTCATGACCTACGATCATGAAGCAATTCGTTACAAGCGGCCTTGAGCCCATTTGTAACTGGACCAAAGTTCTCGGTTTCCTCTTGTTAAAGAGACTGCCCAGCAGGGGGTTCCCCGTTCGCTCCTTAAAACCTACCCGACTCCCCACACGAACGTGAAGACCCTGACGGACGGATTAAAAGTCTCAATCATGTCGCATCCAGAAGACTGTGAGGACCAACCTTGTCTGTCAGGCCTGTTTGACAGGTGCATCTCACTCACTTCAGTACCCTCTACAAAGAAAGAAGATGCGCCAAAAAGCAGCCCTCCCGAAAAGAATAGAAAAGAATAAGCAAACTACCCAACAGGACATGGTGTTCGGACCTCAGCAGCCCTAGCTGGCCCTAGCAGCTCTAGTAGCCCTGCTGCTAGGGCACCTTACAGACGCCACCTGGGAGGGTCCAACCGGGAGCGGCTCGAGAGCCTCTGGAAATCCCACGGAGGACTTGGGGGACGCCACACGGTAGTGGCCTCAGACGGGACGCCACACACGGAGGATGAACTTGGCAAGGAGGTTTGGAGGTGTTGTTTCTGTTCGGCCGTGTTAAACAAGGCAAGACTGCAAGACCAAGGTATAAAGTAGAGGTGAATTGAGGTGTACTGTGTATATATGTATATATATATACTGTAGATGTCTGTCTGGGTCTCAAAACCACCTCACACTTTCTTCCTCTCCACTCAGTCTAAATTTAGCATTTGTCTACAACGGTACTGGTTCGTGTTTTGCTTTTGGAATTTCAGTAACTCTGGCCGGGCTGGCTGATCCTTCTCAGGGGGACCTATTCAAAGTTTGGTGGGCCCAAGGTTGCTGAGGTGCCAATGCTCTCCCAATTGCAATGGTATGTAAACACCACATGTACGTTTCAATTCATCTCCAAAGCTAGGTTCGGACAAATCCAGGGGTTCCCTTGCGGTTGAAAAGGCACTCTTTGGAAGGTGGGACCTTCCCAAACCGCCCTGCCGCCCTGCCGCACGTGTCTTCGTGCGGGTGCCGCGCCGAAGCACCAAGCTCTCAGCTCCAGACAGGCCAAGGAGACCTCGCAGCCGCCACCCAAGGCTGGGCCGTTGAGCGCCGCCACCACTGTCTTCGGAGAGGCGTCGATCATGTCCTGAGGAAAGGATGGAAAGGAGAGATTCAATGAGGCTGTGAGGTGGTAAGTAGCTAAGTAGCTAAGCAAGATGTGGTAAGTCAGTAAGCTACTAAGCTTAAGTTGCCTAATTTATCAGTATTGGATGCAGGAGAGCTCGAGCACTATTCATTGGGGGAAACTTGACTATCTGAGATTCGACCAGTTCTGGAAGTTCTGGTGTGACTGCTGGTCTATTCGGTGCCGAAGAAAGAACGCTGAGGAAGGCACCATCATCTCGCTCAGGGCAGCCACAGGATTGTTCTCCTGCCAAGTTGGGGGCCGTGACTGCCGTTGATTTGGGCTGCCAGTAACTTTGTGATCGCTTCCAACATGGTTCATCGTTCTGTCCTTAAGAGTTGCCCAGGGCCCAATGTTCACTAGGTTGTTGCATCTGGTGGAAAACTGTTTCAAGTAATGTATCCTCTCGCCTACAGCGTGTCTACTCGCTCATCTAACCTTAAAGCCAGTCCACCGAGCACTTCCGAGTCCAACGATTCCAGAAACACAGCTCAACACTCGCCCCTCTCACATCAAGAGTCGCAGCATGTCGAGGTAAATACCCATGATGCAAATGAATGCTTTCATCAGTACTCATGGCCCTCATCCCAACAGCGACCCCAACCTCCCCTAGCCCCAACGGCGAGAGGTGCGTGATTCCCATCCCCACCTGGAAGCCAAGCCCTTTCCAACAAGAGGGTGTGGGATGCCATGGCATCCGTCAAAGGCAAACTGGCTTTAACCACATCCATCCACATCCACGTCCAGTTCGTTTCGTTCGTCCCGTTCATCCCGTTCCACGGTTCATTCCTTTCGTTTGCAAACCATCGTTTTCCTTCATCTTCTCGGGTCCCATCGCCACCATAATTGCAAACCTCGGCGTCACCGAGGTGTTGGCCCTCGTGGCCACTCTCAAGTAATGAAGAGGCAAGGTCTGAATATGTGGGGTACAGGTATGGAGGCCAGGAAAAGGGAAAATGGGAAACTCGATGTGATGCTTCGCACTTTCTTACTCAATTTAGCGAAGGAACACACTTGATAGATTTTGATAGAGCTTTCTCTTGGGACTCCAAGGTACCTTCAAGAGTTTGCTTCATCCATCTGTCTTGCCGTGTTACCACGCAGCCATCAATCCACTGGATACACCAAAAACAGGCCAAATGGTTTCCAACTGGAAGGATTGGAGGCGGTTTTCTTCTTCATCCCCAAAGCATAAACTGTCAACCCTGTCAAGGAAAATACTACCGACTCCCAGCAACCAGCAACAGCAAAAAGACTTATATATTGGTCGTCGATAAGAATCTTATTGTCTGGTGGGATGAGCTTGGGTGCTGGGCATTCCAAGAAACAATTAGCTCTGTCATTCCTAAACGGGCTCTGAAAGCAATCTTCAGACGGATCTCAATACCACGTTCCAGATGTCATTTGACTTCAAAAGCACATCGTCGCACAAAAAGCACACGGTGGTTGGACGCCGACCACCCAATGGCGCCCTTGATCGAATCCTTTTAGGGGTCGTCCACTGGGTCGTCCATCCGGGTGGACCTTGGGTCTGTGAATGTGACGATTCACGTCGACTCCCTAAACCTCCCAAACCACATGTGGCACTGGTCAGATCCTCTTGGACAAAAGGCTGACATGGTGACGAAATCCAACGGCTCCAGGCGGCAGCCCTTCCGCTCCAGGCGGCTCAGTGATCTCGGCTCCGCCGCAGAACATGTTCCCGTTCCCGGTCACCACGATCGCCTTCACCTCGAGAAGCCGGCGTCTCGCCGCGTCTGGCCCCCCCGTCTCGGGGACCCGGTAGGACCGGGTTGAAGAAAGGAAGCAGATGCCCTTTGTTACTAGTAGCTTCCTGCTACTAATAGCGATGCACTTGTTACTACTAGCGATGCCCCTGCTACTAGTAGCTTCTTGCTACTAGTACTAGTGCCCTTGTTTACTGGGAAGCGGAACTTTGATGTATTTGTTCATTCTGTATAAAGTCCGCTCTGCCCCGTACTACTTACAATTTTTAGATACGGCCTAGGTGCCCCTGGGATGATTCAGCCTGCAAAGATACTTTCCAATTAAGTAGGCGCCTGCTTCATTATATAAATAAGGGCTAAGTTAGCTCCTAGGTAGCACGCAGGATAGTTCACACTTCTTCGAGGAAGCTCCCCCGCCTGAGGGCGGGGACGAGCTTCGAAGAAGCGCTCGCACTAATCATTTGGCTCCCAGATTTTTAGGAAAAAAGCACACGTGTGACCGAGCAGCCAAAGGATGCCAAAGACTTCTCTTCCAGGTAAAATGCCACTTGGATTTAGGGGAACAGGACAAGTTAGTAGATTTGGTACGGCCTTGTAAAGGAACTAAAAAGAGGGAACCAACAAAATTGTGTATGCGTATATATGCATATCTATTTATATATATATATCACTTGTGGCTGTTGTTGTCAACACAAAAGTGTGTTCATTAAGGCTAGGAAAGAAAGCAAAGCCTCTATTTGCTGGTATAGTCATTTCCAGCTCTGGGTATTATCCATCCATTGTCCACCGCCCTTCCTCCTCCTAGCTACCACTTCGCCGTGCTGTTGCCCTTGCCAGTACAACCCAACGCGCGCACGCCTTCGGGTCCGCCACCAACTTGGGAAATTCCTCGCTTGCTCACAGAACCGAAACACACCAAAAAGAATAGCAAAGAGAGCGTGAACGGATTCAAAACCAACAGTTCTGAGTAGGCCGCAAAGACCGAGGGATAACGAGAGGGAAGCAAGGTGGCTGTAGCAAGAGACAAGTAGCTTAGAAGCTACCAGGCTTGGAACACCGAAGGGGGCAGGTTCTTCAACGAAGCTCCTGGCACCTGAGGGCCGGGAGCTTCCTTGATGAATCCTTCAAATAGACAAAGCAGTTCTTACATTAGTGATGCAGTGTCTATGATTAAAATTGAAATGTTGTCTATGCCTCATGTTCACATCTTGTGTTGTACTTCAAAGTCCGAGATTGAGACAACACTTGGATAATTAAGTCCAATTCTTTGCTTGGTGAGAACAATTCAAGAAGACGAGCTACTACTTTACATTTATTCTGGTTTCTGTTCCTGCAAAAGAACATTTCTCGCCTCTCTACACATCAAGCATACATCCATTTCCGTAGCACACCATCCCAACCGGTCACATCAGTCACACGATCTCTCTTCGCTCGTCCTGCTTGAAGGAGGTCACCAGCTCAGTGCCCAGAGAGTTGACGGGGGGCGAGTTCATGGTGATCACTCCAACACCTGGCTCGAGTGACGGCAGAGACCTGTTGGGAGGGAGACGGAGGGAACGGAGGCATCGAAGTGAGTACTTTCAACATTGCCCAGCACCTAGCCGTCTTGCAAACAAGGAGGACATATCTGGAACAGCACTCCTTGCAATACACATTCAGTATACAAACCCCTGGTGAACACTCCGGTCTTGTGTTCCTAGAAGCTTGACCAAGGCACCATCAGGGCGCACATTGATGGTGGCTGGCATGGTGAAGAGGCCTTGGCCCAGCTTCGTTCTTTCTTTCGCTTGTGTAAAAACAGCTGAGTATATCATGGATGTGGCACATGTGTTTTGAAGCTTGAATATTTGCAACCCTTTGTTCATTGACAAACCACAGGCTTGACAAGACCGGCATCGTAGCCGACCAACACCGACCACTGATCAACTCTACCAAGGTTCCGGCGCAAACGAGCTTGGATTCAGATTGGTTGGCTTGTTTGGCTTGAAACGCTCCGACAAATGGAGTTTCTTCAATGTGTCTACCTCGCCCACTACCGCTTGGTTCGCCAGGCAAAATTGGCACAGACCAAATGTTTCACAGTACACACACCGTGAAAGGATTGATCTGAAGGCAGATATGATAGTCATCCACTCATGACAGGTAATTACAGGCAAGGGCTGCTGAAGCACTGAAATTAAATTGTACCTTTTGCACTGATTGTGGAAACAGAAAACATGATGGAATTTGTTTGCCAACTTTCTTCGGTCTCTGTATCCTATGAGGGTCACCCCGACAAGCATCGGGTTGACTTCAAGAACCTCAATTCACACGTGAATGTGTCTGTGTTTATATCGTTTGGCAAGAATTTTGCCCTACAACATGTGGAATACCCACACTCAGGGTCAAGTCCAGGTTGCCGATATCGCTTGTGAGGTCAAAACAAGAAACCTTCGAGGTACCCCAGCATGAAAACACATCCCACTTAGTCCTACTTTTTATGTGCCCTGTTGCCAGCCAGGCCAGCAGTCCAGCACCGTCGTAAGGTCCAGCAGGTGTTAACGTGAGCCGGCCTATCAACCGCACCTTAGCCGTGACACACATTGAAAACGCTCAAAGTGGCGCTGGTCAGCCAAAGTTTGGAAGGTCAAAGCGCTGCACTTTGGAACGATCAAGGCAAATCCTTCTGCAAGGTTTCCGTCGCTCGCAGCCCGACAAACATGTCGCGCAGCAAGAACTGGACAGAACATGATGGCAAAGGCTCACCATGGGAACAGCCCCATTGAATTACAGGCGCTGGCTGAGAGGGAACATTCCTCCCACCATGCTTACAATAGAGCCATGCTTGGATACCTACAAAATGTTTGGGTCAAATTGCATGGCACTTTTCCATCGCCTTTTACCTTGAGTGTTTCATTTTCTTGGAGGCCGCATTCTTGTTCTATCCTCCCCATAAAATGAACAGCTTTGGAGCTCCAGCTCAAACCCTTGTTGCGGAATATTCAATGGGGGATTGAAGAACAGAAAAGGTGACACACACTTATGGATATGCGTACTGGCTTGACAGCGGTGCCACACGCCGGCCTAGGTTGGTTATAAGGCCTGAGATACCAAGAAATAGTAGGTTAAAGGCCAAACGGTTTGGGTTGGAGGTCAACGCGAGGCTGTTGGGGCCAAGACCCAAGGTTGGAGGCCATCGCAAGGAGGCGGTGGACCACAGACGCAAAGTGACAGTGCCCAGGTCACATTGAAAGGGATGGAAACACAGCATGATGATGGGGAAAACAACACAAGAACAAAAACCGCAGAAAACAACCAAACACACAGCCAGAACCACAACCAAACACCACCCAAGGCCAGAGGCCGAATCCCCATCGAACAAACAGTGTTTCCTCTGTGCTAAGGTGAGACAGGTGAGAACAATAGACTGCACACTGTCTCAGGGCCTGAATTCAGTTTGTTCAAAGGGGTCAGTGCGCGAGCGAAAGAGCAGGCGAAGCCAGAGAGGCTCCGTGCAAACATCAAAACTGTGACCACACGGCAACTACATCGAGCAGCAAAACATGGTCACATGGCATTTCGCTCAGGGCTCCTCATGACTGTCAGCAGCACTGATTCTTCCAAAGGAGATCAGTTGTTGCAATGCCAAACTTGCCAAGGAAAAATCCCTTTTCGCGGCACAACCCACACCTGATTGCACAAACGAAGTGAGAGTTCTTTTTTCCCACGAGTACGGACGCCGTGTGGGCATGGTGCCCAGGTCATCGTTGAAGGGAAGGAAGAACAGTCTGATGGTGGAGAAAAGAACAAGGACAACCAAAACAACCCAAGACCAAACAAACCACAGCCCACAGGCCGAGTCTCCACCATCATGTAGTCTTTCCTCTGTGCTAGGTGAAACAAGTGAAACGAAAACTAATGACTAGCAATGGGCCTGAATTCACGAACGAAAAGCATGTCGGCGCAGGTCTGTGCTCTAGCAAAGTCTCCAAAAAGGCTTCAAATGGACTTTACTTCATGATTACTAGTGACCAGCGGCCACACCACAGTGCGGCAAAACCATGGTCACGATGCAGGTCAGGAGTATCGCAATGCTCCAACGCCGGTTGCGTCCATGTCAAAATGGAGTAGCGTAGCTATGCTGCATGCCGTGGAAAAGACCTTTCTTGTAGCACAACCCGTGCAACTGGTTGCACTTACAAGTCCAGAGGCATGTTACCAGGCGGTGATCAAACAGTGGCGGCCATAGCAAACGACGAAAGCCTGCAGGTAAGGGTGCGAAAGGGCACCCCCCCGAAGGGAGGTCAATTCAGCACCTTTCGGCACACAAAGGTGCCATAAACAAAAAAGGGGTGTCTCCTAAATCCGTGAAGTGCTGCGTCATTGCAAAAAGTGATCTGCTGCGTGCAAGGCCCGTGTGAAACAGGTGAAACTTTGGACTATCCTAGCATGGTATCTGTACCTCTTTGTACAAAATTGGAAATGTCGGACATCAACACAGGGAACTAAGGTTCCCCCTGGGCATCCTCCATTGCCACTCTCTACCACCCGCCTGTTAGGAACGAGGAGCTAAGGCTCTCATTCCTATTGGCTCACAGCGTTGCGAATGGCGAAAAGAGGTCGGTGATCCTACTTAGTGCTTGCGCATCTCACTTGCCGTAACTTGCTGGCGGTGTGCTTATCCACCATTCCAGCTGCGAACACATTGCTGGTCTTTGCAGGTCTGGAGAGTCTTCTTCCCTTTGATCACTGGCATCTGTCGACAGCTCTCGGCGCTGCCTGGACTAGACGGGTCGCCCACCTTTGTCAAGTACACATGTCCTTCGCTATGTGTTGTTTTTTCCCTTGCTTGCACCTTGCTCAAAAGTGCGTGCTGCCTGCAAGAGCGCATAGCGCCATGGTACTCCGGGATGGAACCTCCTATGGAAGGGTACTCTGAAGAAAGGCTTGTTTTGCGATGATCCTCAGCTCCCCTATGGAATTTGGCCTGGTATGGCTTCTGGCCTACCCTGGACTCGCGCTAAGGCGTGCGCCCAGACTCTTAATGAGTAACTGTGAGACCGCGATAGCTGTGGCCAGAAAGGCTTGTTTTCATCCAAGACCAGGGGTATATCCCATGTCCGGGATCATATGCAGCCAGGGTGGCCATCTCATAGCAGGACAAATGGCGAAAGCATTTTCTTCAGCATAGACTCCTCGCCATTTGTGCCTTCCTGGCATTTTGGCAAGCCTCTTAAAAACAGTGCAATCCAAGAAAGCCCTACTTCCAATGTATCTTAGTGAGGGCGGGATGGCAAGCTCAACTAGGGCTGCACAGTTCATAAAGGCTTTGACTCGGATTGCATGGAGAGTAGTCGGAAGGAGGACTTCTCTGAGGCTAGTGCAGTGCACAAAGGTGAATTCCGGTGTTGCAAAGGTCTACACTCTTAAGCAGTCGGCAACTGTCGCACGCATGCGCTCCAATAGCTACAAAATGCTTTGTGAGCGCGAGTGCGGTGATTCCCGTAGAGCTAAGACAGCCCGGTGCTAGCTCACTGGTCCTAGCTTGCAGTGGGGATGGAAGCTCACTCAAGGTAAACTCAGCAAGGTTAATACACCCTTGGAAGAGGTATTGCCCAAACTTGGCTTCGCTGTTGAACACATTTGCAACCCCTTCCGACGCATACACCCATTGCAAGGAACAGCATTCCGCAAAGGCTTTGTGTCCAAAATCTCGACAACCCGGAGCCAAGACACTGTTTAGTAGTTTGCAGTCACGGAAGACGTTATCGGAAATGCCTACAACAGTGGCCGGCAGTTTGACAATGCGGAGCTGTCGGCAATTTTGCCAAGCCTCTGCTCCAATGAGCCTGATGCCTGACTCTACACTGACGTGTCTCAGACGTGGAACCCCTGCAAAGGCCCCTTCTGGGACGATTTCTTCTGGGTTCATAGGGACATGAACGGCTAGCGGAATGTGATGGATAGGGCAACCCTCAAGTTGTTCTTGAGATGGCAGGATAACACTGCAGTTCTTGAAGACAATGGTGTATGCCATGCCTTGCTGTAGCTTGTCCCAGATTGGGTCCTCTAGGTATGTCTGTGTGGCAGTTTGTAGAAAGTCGATGGAGCACCCAAACACTTTGAGATCAGTAACAGAGGCCAGATAGTCCATGACCTGGTCCTCTAGATCCTCAAATCGGTCAAACTTTGCAACACTGAGAGAGACCTTAAAAGTCACCCCCGAAAGCGTGGTCAGCATCAGGGAGCATTCCATGACCGGCTCCGTTTCAGGGGGAGTGCTAATCATGGATGAATCGTCAAGCTCCATGTGCGGCAAGCTATTTGCAATTATTGTTTGAGCCAAAAGTGTCTGAGTCTGCTCATGGGCTGTTCCTAAGGCCAGGGATGTTTCCTGAAGACAGATGCTAAGGCACCCACCTTGAGCCTCTCATGGACTGGCATGATATTAGGAGTACTCGTGGCATAGCTCCTCGTCAAAAGCGTCCGAATCGGGTCCTTCCGCGGGGAGCAGCTCCACCCACAGGGGTTTTTCAAATTTGTCACACATAAAGAAGGCATTGCGCTCTGCCTGCACCCACTGTTCAATGTCACCCCAATCCAGGGGGGTAAATCGTTGCAGTTGCTCACACCCGCAGAATGCACGGTTGCCTATGTCACTGAGCTCCGTCGGGATGACAACTTCTTGCAGTACAACACAATTAAGGAAAACTTCTTTGCCAATTTGCGTGAGTCGTGGCGGAAGCCATATACAATTTAAGGCTACACA